CCGATGGATCCCGGCCGATCCCACCCCAATTCCTGATGGATCCCGGCCGATCCCGCCCCGATTCCCAATGGTTCCTGGCCGATCCCGCCCCGATTCCCTGCCGATCCTGGTCCATCCCGCCCCGATTCCTGGTGGATCCTGTTTGATCCCGGCCCAATTCCGGGTGGATCCCGGCCGATCCCACCCCAATTCCCAATGGATCCCAGCCGATCCCGCCCCGATCTCCAGTGGATCCTGGCCGATCCCGCCCCGATTCCCGGCTGATCCTGGACAATCCCACCCCAATTCCCGATGGATCCCGGCCGATCCCGCCCTGATTCCCAATGGATCCTGGTCAATCCCGCCCCGATTCCTGGTGGATCCCGGTGGATCCCGCCCCGATTCCTGGCGGATCCCGGCTGATCCCACCCCAATTCCCAATGGATCCCGGTCCATCCCGCCCCGATCCCCAGTGGATCCTGGCCGATCCCACCCCAATTCCCAATGGATCCTGGTCAATCCCGCCCCAATTCCCGGCTGATCCCGGTCCATCCCGCCCCGATTCCGGGTGGATCCCGGCGGATCCCGCCCCGATTCCTGGCGGATCCCGGTCCATCCCGCCCCGATTCCCAGTGGATCCCGGGGGATCCCGCCCCGATTCCCGGGGGATCCCGGCGCTCCGTACCCGGATCTCGACGTATCCGTGCGCCACCTCCTGCGGCTCCACGGCCACCGGCAGCTCCGGCCCCGGCGGCTGCGGGGGCGGATCCCGGTCAGCCGGGATCCCCCGGGACCCACCCGATCCCAGCTGGGATTCCCTGGAGATCCCGACCCTTCCGAGATCCCAGGAGATCCCAGGAGATCCCAGGTTGGAATCCCGGATCCCATCCAGAAGATCCCGGCCATTCCCAGAGGATCCCAGCCTGGAATCCCAGGAGATCCAAACCCTTCCCAAGATCCCGGAAGATCCCCGGCTGGATTCCCACCCAGGATTCCCAGGAGATTCCACAAGATCCCGGGCTGGATTCCCAGATCCCATCCCAGAATCCCACCCACTCCCAGATCCCAGGAGATCCCGGGCTGGATTCCCAGATCCCAGGAGATCCCGGGCTGGATTCCCAGATCCCATCCCAGAAGATCCTGACCCTTCCCCTTCCCGAGATCCCAGGAGATCCCATATGGGATTCCCAGGAGGTCCCAGATCCTGGGCTGGATTCCCACCCACCCATTCCCAGGAGATCCCAATCCTCGCCAGATCCCAGAAGATCCCAGCCCGGATTCCTGGTCCGTAATCCCATGACGTCCTGGGAGATCCCACCCAGGATTCCCAGCAGATCCCACCCAGGATTCCCAGGATTCCCAGGAGATCCCAGCAGATCCCACCCAGGATTCCCAGGAGATCCCAGCAGATCCCACCCAGGATTCCCAGCAGATCCCACCCAGGACTCCCAGGATTCCCAGGAGATCCCAGCCCTCCCCAGACCCCAGGAGATCCCAGGAGATCCCATCCAGGATTCCCAGGACATCCCAGATCCTGTGCTGGAATCCCAGGAGATCCCAGAAGATCCCACCCAGGATTCCCAGGATTCCCAGAAGATCCCACCCGGGATTCCCAGAAGATCCCACCCAGGATTCCCAGGATTCCCAGAAGATCCCAGCCACAATTCCCAGGATTCCCAGCAGATCCCACCCAAGATTCCCAGGAGATCCCACCCACGATTCCCAGGACTCCCAGGAGATCCCACCCAGGATTCCCATCAGATCCCAGGAGATCCACCCAGGACCCTCAGGAGTCCCAGGAGATCCCACCCAGGATTCCCAGGAGATCCCCCCAGGAGATCCCGGGGCGGGATCGCCGTGCCTGGACGCCGGTGATCCGCTGCAGGTCCCGCAGGGCGGATCCCGTGTCCCGCACCGGCAGCGCCGCCATTCCCAGCGCCCGCGCCGAGGCCAGGTCCCGCTCCCGGCAGCCCAGGAACAGCACCTGGAAAAGAGGGAACCCCGGAACCCCGGGAATCCCGGGAATCACGGATTTCGGGAATCGTGGTGGCATCTCCCATGGCTTTGGAATCCCGGGGAAATCCATGGATTTGGGGGGTGGAAAATCCCAGATTTCCCAGATCTTTAGGATGGTGGTGGCATCTCCCATGGCTTCAAATTCCTGGGGAAATCCATGGATTTGGGGGGTGGAAAATCCCGGATTCTGGAAATTGTGGTGGCATCTCCCATGGCTTTGGAATCCCGGGGAAATCCATGGATTTGGGGGGTGGAAAATCCCGGATTCTGGGAATTGTGGTGGCATCTCCCATAGCTTTGGAATCCTGGGAAAATCCATGGATTTGGGGGGTGGAAGATTCCAGATTCCCGGGATGGTGGTGGCATCTCCCAGGGCTTCATAATGCTGGGAAAATCCATGGATTTGGGGGGTGGAAGATTCCAGATTCCTGGGATGGTGGTGGCATCTCCCAGGGCTTCATAATGCTGGGAAAATCCATGGATTTGGGGGGTGGAAGATTCCAGATTCCTGGGATGGTGGTGGCATCTCCCAGGGCTTTGGATTCCCGGGAAAAGCCATGGGTTTGGGGCACGGAAAATCCCAGATTCCCCAGATCTTTAGGATGGTGGTGGCATCTCCCATGGCTTCAAATTCCTGGGGAAGTCCATGGATTTGGGGCATGGAAAATCCCGGATTCTGGAATTGTGGTGGCATCTCAGAGGGCTTTGGATTCCCAGGAACATCCCAGGATTTGGGGGATGGGAAATCCCGGATTCTGGGAATTGTGGTGGCATCTCCCATAGCTTCAACCCCCTGGAATTTTCCAAGGATCTGGGCCATGGACAACCCCAAATTCCCGTTTTTTTTGGGATGGTGGTGGCACCTCCCAAAGCTTCAAACCCCTGAGATCCTCCAAGGATCTGGGCCATGGACAACCCCAATTCCCGTTTTTTTTGGGATGGTGGTGGCACCTCCTCAGGCCTGACGCCCAGCGCGTCCAGGGCGCAGGAGAAGACGCGCGGGTCGGGCTTGGCGATGCCGAGCCGGCAGGACTCCAGCACCAGGTGGACGCTGCGGCGCAGCTCCTGCAGCAGCTCGGCCCACCGGGACCTCCCGGGCGTGTCGTCCAGCCAGGAGTTGGCCAGGACGGCCGTCAGGAACCCTGCGAGAGGCCGGAGAGCTCCTGGTGGGGTCAGCCAGGGCTTCGGGGTGGGATCGGCCAGGAGCTCCTGGTGGGGTCTACCCGGGCTTGGTGGTGGGATTCACCAGGAGCTCCTGGTGGGATCTACCCGGGCTTTGGGGTGGGATCGGCCAGGAGCTCCTGGTGGGATCTACCCAGGCTTTGTGGTGGGATCGGCCAGGAGCTCCTGGTAGGATCAGCCAGGGCTTCAGGGTGGGATCGGCCAGGAGCTCCTGGTGGGATCTGCCAGGGCTTTGGGGTGGGATTGGCCAGGAGTTCATGGTGGGATCTACCCAGGCTTTGTGGTGGGATCTGCCAGGGCTTCGGGATGGGATCCACCAGGAGCTCCTGGTGGGGTCTACCCGGGCTTTGTGGTGGGATCTACCCGGGCTTTGGGGTGGGATCGGCCAGGAGCTCCTGGTGGGGTCTGCCAGGGCTTCGGGGTGGGATTGGCCAGGAGCTCCTGGTGGGATCAGCCAGGGCTTTGGGGTGGGATCATCCAGGAGCTCTTGGTGGGATCTACCCAGGCTTTGTGGTGGGATTCACCAGGAGCTCCTGGTGGGATCAGCCAGGGCTTTGGGGTGGGATCGGCCAGGAGCTCCTGGTGGGATCTACCCAGGCTTGGTGGTGAGATCTACCAGGGCTTTGGGGTGGGATCGGCCAGGGCTTCATGGTGGGATCCCACTGGAGATCGGGGTGGGATCAACCCAGGCTTTATGGTGGGATCCACCAGGGCTTCAGGGTGGGATCTGCCAGGGCTTCCGGGTGGGATCGGCCAGGAGCTCCTGGTGGGATCAGCCAGGGCTTTGGGGTGGGATCCACAAGGATCTCCTGGTGGGATCCATCAGGAGCTCCTGGTGGGATTGGCCAGGACCTCGTGGTGGGATCCACCAGGGTTCCGTGGTGGGATTGACAAGGATCTTGTGGTGGGATTGGCCAGGAGCTCCTGGTGGGACCCACCAGGATCTCATGGTGGGAATGACCAGGAGCTGAGGGTGGGATCAGCCAGGGCTTTGTGGTGGGATCCGCCAGGAGCTCATGGTGGGATCCACGAGGATCTCCTGGTGGGATCCATCAGGATCTCCTGGTGGGATCCACCAGGGCTTTGTGGTGGGATTGACAAGGATCTTGTGGTGGGATCCACCAGGATCTCCTGGTGGGATCCATGAGGAGCTCATGGTGGGATTGGCCAGGAGCTCCTGGTGGGATCCACCAGGGCTTTGTGGTGGGATCCACCAGGATTTCCACCCCCAGCATTCCCAAATTTCCATCTCCACCATCCCAACATTCCCGACCCAACATTCCCAACATTCCTGACCCGACATTCCCAACATTCCGAACCCACCATCCCATGATTCCCAACCCCAAATTCCCAACTTTTCCTCCATTCCCAGCATTCCATTCCCACCAGTCCCACCATTCCCAACATTCCGAACTCAACATTCCAAACATTCCAAATCCATCATTCCCAACATTCCCAACATCGCATCCCCATCAACCCGCCATTCCCAACATTCCAACCCCAGCATTCCCGACATTCCCAACTCAGCATTCCCGACATTCCATTTCCTCCATTCCCACCATTCCCACCATTCTCACCATCCCAACATTCCCAACATTCCGAACTCAACATTCCCAACATTCCCAACATTCCCAACATTCCATTCCCACCATTTTCATCATCCCAACCTTTCATTCCCAACATTCCCAACCCACCATTCCCAAGGTTCTGAACTTGGCATTCCCAACATTCCCAACATTCCGAACTCAACGTTCCCGACGTTCCCAACATTCCACACCCATCGTTCCAAGCATTCCCAACATTCCATTCCCAACATTCCCAACCCACCATTCCCATCATCCCAATGTTCCATTCCCAACATTCCAAACCCAACATTCCCAACATTCCACCCCCCCCATTCCCAACATTCCAAAGTCAACATTCCCACCGTTCCCACCGTTCCCACCATTCCATTCTCATCATCCCAATGTTCCATTCCCACCGTTCCCACCATTCCCACCATTCCAAACCCACCATTCCCACCGTTCCCACCGTTCCCAACATTCCATTCCCACCATTCCCACCATTCCCACCGTTCCCACAATTCCCACCATTCCCACCATTCCAAACCCACCGTTCCCACCATTCCCACCATTCCAAACCCACCGTTCCCACCGTTCCCACCGTTCCCAAAATTCCGCCCCGGCATTCCCGGCCTTCCCACCGTGGCTCCGCAGGGCGGCGGCCGCGCGCAGCAGCGGCGCCTCCAGCCGGGCGCGGCTCCGGAATTCCCGGAACGGCCGCGACGCCGAGAATCCCTCGGGAACGGCGGCGCCCGGAGCCGCCCGGCAGCGCCGCTCCAGCTCCTCCTGCAGCTGCGGCCGGGAAACGGGAATTCCCAAAATTCCCGGGAATTCCCAAAATGTCCCCAGATTCCAGGAAACCCCGGGTGGGAAAACCCCGAAAACTGGGACAAATCCAGGTTGAAGTCTCAAAATTCCTGGAAATTCCCACTTGGAAAAGCCCCAACATCGCGAGGAATTCCCAAAATTCCTGAGAATTCCTGAATTTCCTGGGAATTCCCAACCTTCCCAATTGGAAAAAGTCCTGAAATACCAAGAAATCCCGGCTGGAAAAGTTCCAAAATTCCAGGAAATCCCGGTTGGAAAAGTCCCAAAATTCCAGGAAATCCCGGCTGGAAAGTTCCAAAATTCCAGGAAATCCCGGCTGGAAAAGTTCCAAAATTCCAGGAAATCCCGGTTGGAAAAGTCCCAAAATTTGGCAAATTCCCGCTTGGAAAATTCCCAAAATCCTAGTTGGAATTCCCAAAATTCCCAACGTTCCTGGGAATTCCCAACCTTCCCAATTGGAAAAGACACCCAAAATTTATGGAAAAATCCAGGTTGGAAAAGTCCCAAAGTTTGGGAAATTCCAGCTTGGAGAAGTCCCAAAATTTATGGAAAAATCCCGGTTGGAAAAGCCCCAAATTCCAGGAAATTCCCACTTGGAAAATTCCCAAAATTTTGGGAAAATCCCAGTTGGAAAAGCCCCAAATTCTGGAGAAATCCCAATTGGAAAAGTCCCAAAAATTGGGAAAAATTCCGGGTTGGAAAAGTCCCAAAATTTGGCAAATTCCCACTTGGAAAATTCCCAAAATCCTAGTAGGAATTCCCAAAATTCCCGGGAACTCCCGGCGTTCCCGGGAATTCCTAACATTCCCAATTGGAAAAGTCCAAAAATTTAGGAAATTCCAGCTTGGAGAAGTCCCAAAATTTATGGAAAAATCCCGGTTGGAAAAGCCCCAAATTCCAGGAAATTCCCACTTGAAGAAGTCCCAAAATTGTCAGGAATTCCCAAAATTCCCAGGAATTCCCAAAATTCCCAGGAATTCCTGACGTTCCCAATTGGTAAAGTCTCAAATTAAAAAAAAAAATCCCCATTGGAAAAGACCCAAATTCCAGGGAATCCCAATTGGAAAATTCCCAAAATTGTGAGGAATTCCCAAAATTCCCAGGAAGTCCCAATCCAGGAATTCCCAATCCAGGAATTCCCGACGTTCCCAATTGGTAAAGTCCCAAATTCCAAAAAAATCCCGGTTGGAAAAGCCCCAAATTCCAGGAAATTCCCACTTGGAAAATTCCCAAAATTGTGAGGAATTCCCGACGCTCCTGGAATTCCCGGAATTCCCGGAATTCCCGAATTCCCGGGCGCCGCACCTGGCTGAGGCTGATCTGCCCCCGCAGCGCTCGGGACTCGAGGCTCTCGGATCCGCCGGAATCCAGAGCGGCCGCCAGGAAACCCCTGGGGAATTCCCGAAAAATCAACCCCCAAATCCCGAAAAATCAAAGCCCAAAAATCCCAAATAACAAAAAATAAAATCTCAAAAATCCCAAATGACCCAAAAATCCCAAAAATCCCCAAAAATCAAATCCCCAAAATCCCAAATGACCCAAAAATACCAAATCCCAAATAACCCCAAACCCAAATCCCAAAAATTCCAAAACCTGATCCCAAATCCCAAACGCCAAATCCCAAAAATCCCGAACCCCAAATGACCCAAAAATCCCAAAAACTCCAAACCCCAAATCCCAAAAACCCCAAATCCCAAATCCCAAACCCCAAACCCCAAATCCCAAAAACCCCAAACCCCAAATCCCAAACCCCAAAATTCCCAAACCCCAAATCC